CACATTTATCCATTTTGGAGTTAATCAACAACAAAACTTTATCAAAAAGTGTTGACCAAATATTTTTTTTATCACAAAAAGAACCGCGAATTAGCTTGTCCAGAGGATCCTAAATCCAACCCGAACAATGTCATCAAACGAAAAAAAACTAAGGGTTATCCGTCATAACCTAAAATGTATCCAACACTCAAATGTATTATTTTATACTTTTTGGCGTGTCGTTGCTAGTCGAAACTTATGGCTATTGATTAACACTCAAATTAGTTTTAATTTTAACTCCATTGTTTTCTAGCCATGCCTATCCTCTCGCTTTAAATGCATTCATTGAATTCTTAGTTGTCTCTTGTAGGAACCATAAATTTAATTAAGTGTCCCCTTTTTATAACCTAAAATCCAAATGTCATTTGCTATACGTTTCTAGCAAAGTACTCCCGCGAACACAATTGTGAAAGAGACGATGCTTCATGTATCAATCAATCAATAATAAACTTATTTATTTCTTTTCCAATTTTTGAAAATAATTTTGAATTGCTTGAACAGAAAGTATATGCCAATCAAATACAAATTTTAGTGCTAATTTAACAGATATTTTAGACAAATTTTTCATATTGATATGTATTTGTGTGGATATCATGAGTCTATCTTGTTATCGTTATTTTCATTTGTGAATCGTGAGTAAGATATTTATTAAGCTCGTACTTACGCAGGGCTGGACTCAATTTATACAAACAATTACGAATGTCTAATGGGTTTTAGGAGAATGCCTTATGGGCTCTGAGTGATAAATTTTTCTTATAATTTTTTTTAGTATATTGACTATATTCACATAGAAACATTACTTGCTTGGCTGTTTTCGAAAAAAACATTACTTGCTTGGCAATCGAATATTTGAATCACTTTTCTCCTATTAATATTGACTTTGCTACAGACCTATGCATGTAATATTCCGTTGGCACGTGATATTCAAGAAGCACTTGATTCAAATTTCATGAATTTATTTATGGCTCGCATAGAAGGTGAACTCGATCCATATTGATTAAGTTCACAGTGGATGATTTGAACATATAAATAAATATGGAGGATGATTTATAGCTTTCAAATTATTTTATAAACCATTGTATTTTTTTTTAAGTTCAAGTTACTTAAAAATGAATATGTATAGAAGATCAATTTCTGGACTTTATCGGTTTACAAAAAGAGCATAATGTTACCGTAACGCTACCTTGGACTGTTGTTGGGCATGGGCCTTATAATTGACAAATTATAAAGCCCATCTCGTCGAGCTCGGCCCGGCAGAGTTGAGAACTCAACTCAAGTCACAAGGGAAATCCTACATTAATGTACTTCCTCAATCCAAGGGAAATAGGGGTCCCCCCACCTTCTATTATCCATCAATTATTACCTTTTGGAGAGTACAAGAGATCTGAAGGACCAACGGTTTTCAGGAGTCTAACTCGCCCAAAAAAGAAAAGAATTCTGTTCGTACGTTTTTCGCCGGAATCGTACAGAAGTTCGTTAGAAAATGGCTTGCAGAGTTCGCACTTATCCCGATCACAGAGCACTTATCACCAGGTTCCGACCTCAAAATACGTACTTATCATTCAGTTTCCGACCTCATCAAACTTGCTTGTCACTCAATCTCCGATCTCAGAACACTGATCTCGTTACCCAGTTAATCCGCGAAGCACAAAGTTCGTCAGTTTATAAGCTTTCGAGCTCAACGTCCTTTACATTCGTTTCTCCTTATTTATACGCCGTTTGTAATCTATTTCCGAACACGTTATCAATAAACAAGAATTTTCGACCCTCTTACTGTTTAACAAATATATTGTTGAACTCACGTATCAACAACCGTCTACACAAGTGGGAATGCAATCTGGAACAATTATGTCTTCTCTGTGGAGTGGGAAATGAATCCTTTCTTTAGATGTTCCTTTTCCCAAGAAGTTTGGAAGGCTACGGTTCAAAAGGTATTATCTTCCTCCCCTCCTACATCTTGCAATGACATTCTATTATGGTTGCCTACAGAATCTTCGAATAAGGAAGTATCTCTTGCGTTATTACAACGTTGGCATGCTTGTGTTTATGAAATTTGGTTTGAACGAAATAGGCGATACCATGATGGTCTCTCACTGTCTCCATCCAAGATCTTTCACAAACTGATTTCAGTGACAAAGAACAAGGCCCATAGCCTTTCTCAACAGTTTCCTAATCAAACTCCGCTTCTTCCATGTTGGGCTGGTCCATCAAGTTTTACTTTGCAACCTCCATGATCTCAGCAGCGTTCTTCAATCTTTCTCCTCCTTTATTCTATCTTACATGATTTGTGTTGGTAGTTATCTATTGTACTTGAGTCTATCATCTTAGTCTTTTGTAAACGTTTAAATTATATTCAAGCAAACCCTTTAACAAAAAAAAAAGCATAATGTTGAGATTTGTTTTTGAAAAGTTGTTCCGACTTCCGACCAACTTTTCAGTTTTCAGTCACGTTTCCAGCCAA